TATGAGCTCCTACGGAAACTCGAAGATTTGGACAGTAATGTGCTTGAAAAATCGGATAGATTGAAACTAGTAAGAGACGCTATAGCTAAAAATATTCAAGCAGCCTTTGAGGCTTCAGCAAAAAGATATTATTTACGTAGTAGTACAAAAACGTACAAAATAGGAGATATAGTGTTCAGAAGGAATTTTGTTCAAAGCGATGCAAGTAAAAATTCAATGCAAAATTCGCACCTAAGTTTGTCAAAGCAAAAGTCATTGGAACCAAAGGCAATTGTATGTATTTACTTGAGGATGTAGAAACCAAGAAAAAGGAGTATTATCACCAAAAAGATATTCGCAACAGTTGCGAATAACTCCGAAAACCGCACCAACACTTTTGGAGGGGGGGTGTGTACCGTCGTACAGGTATCGTAGTTTTACATGCTTTTAATTTTTGCCGGCCACTTAATATCGCCACAACTGTAAGTAGTTGACTGTCTCTTCTGGTTTTTTCTCATATTCTCCCTTTGTTCATCTTTATATGTACCTCTTTAGCGCCACCTAATTGTGAGTGACGATAATTAGGTATTTATAAACTTAATTAAAACCACTTTTCAAAAAGATAAAAAGGAAATACCTAAATTTGCAATTGATTACCCGAGGTATATTTTAGACGCTTATTTACCTTTATTTCCCGCAAAAATGCTTCTATTAAGACCCCATTTCCAGTTTTGTTACTTTACTACTTTTATGGTATACCATAAACTCCCTAGCTCTGATCTACAAAAAGTAGTAAAATAGACAGGGATGATCAAGAAAGCACTTTTTGATCACGAGAAAGAGGCGTTGAACATTTCCGTTTTCCGAGGATCGTTCTTTTGGATTGAAGCCAGCGAGAGGTGCAGACGTGTGTATAAAAGTAGCTATTTATTTTAAACTTCTAAAAGAAATCCGTTTCTAAGAAAATTAATTTCGCGTAAGGTAGCGAAATTCTTAATTTTCGGCGACATCATCCAGATCCATTGAAACTAAGGCATTTGGGCAAAAGTAATGCATGCCCCCACAGCCAAGTTGCAAGTTATATGCGGATGAGAGGCTGCAGTAACACG